CACTATTCGGCTAGATAGTTTGTTGCCGTTCGCATTTGAACTCCCATTACCCACCATATGTCATCGCGGGATGCTGTCCTTCAAGTCAAGTGGCATGATAAATCTCCAAGACGTGCAGGATTAATACGTCCAGCAGGACAGCATTCGGCGACCCTGAGCAGGCACTGCGGCGCCCTTTCATGCTGCAACACACCGATACTGACGCCCATCGTGCTCGCCTGCCCACAAATGCACGACTTATGCTGTTGCGCCTCATTTGCGAAATACCGTATGAAGCGAAGGATTTTCAAAATTGCTTTCTGAATCGTGTAGAACAAAGGCTTTTTGCAGGTTTTCTGACCGTTTCACTTCGCTTTTTCGCCATTTCCCACTATATAGCACCTCTGCTACCATTTCAGACCTAGTACCAAATTATGGTTCCTTATGCCTTTAACCTATAGCGGCGCGATACAATGGGCTTAGTTTCAAGACAGCGCCAAATCATGGCGACGGAGGCTAGCTAAGACACCGGTCGGTTGTACGTACCTTTAAGAACGGGTCATTAAGGGTCCGCTGAAGAGCAGCAGCAACTTCCTCTCTTGAGAACCATCGTGCTGATTCCAATTCTCCGGGACAAGCATCGATCTGAAATGAGTTTTCTAAAGACAATAACCTTACGTGGAATAATAAAAATCTTTGTTTAAATATAGAGTTACCTTATGTGACATCTCAGCGACGGCGTAATGAGCACACATCAAAGGATGAGTCCGGCATTGGCCATGGCTGAGTTCGGTTCAGAGAAACAACCCCGTAAGCAGGTATGCCCACTTCTTCAGCTATTTCTCGCCGAGCGCATTCTTCTAGAGACTCTCCAGACTAGAACTGTGCCATCTACGCGAAATGTCATTTCCTGGTACTTTTCGAAGTCTTAACCTGAGCGAATCCAGCAATCGCCGTATAAAGACTAGCCGGTGAGGCTTTGTGTCGAATGAGAAGGGCGTACGAATCTGTTGGATCCGAGACCAGTGTTATGGCTACAGGAGAGAACTGCAATAGTACTTGTATCCGAAGAGCCAACTTGTAAGAATCTCATATGTTGAACAATATAACTTTCTCGTCTCACCGTTGGGTAGAAAATCCGTGAACAACTCGGACATCCCGCAGCGGATTTGCTGATGCGCATGCGTAATGGAGAACCACATTTGGGACAGCGACGATATGTGCGTGACCAGCGGCTCAACGATTGAAACTAAAACCTTGGAAATCACCATTTTTAGACGTAAATAATGAGAACAATTAGGAAAAAGGCCAGTTTTTTGTAAAATAACACTGGATGTTGAAAGCTTGTATAAGATCGCCTCGCTTGGACAACTGAGTAATGCAGAAACACGCTTCGCTCTTAAAGGCACATTCCGCGATAAAATAAGGCTATGACCTCTCAAATGTGTCGGACGATCCGGAAGGCGATTTTTGAGGCTGCGCTACTTTCAAAATGTGAAAAACGGCAAGAACTCCGCTAGAAGCTGAGCCCATGGACACCCCTTAGGCCCATGCCGACCCTCACCGGCTGCTAGCTACTAGCTAGTAGCCACTATGTTATCTTTCTCTATAACATTTCGGACTGCTTTTTCTGCTGCTTTTCTCCGCTAATCAGATACTTAGCACTTTTTTGTGCCTATTTGAGTTCCGTTTCCCGCAATTTGCGGTCGCGAACTGTGCCTTTAAAGGCAGCGCCCGCGTTCAAATTTAATGAGTATGCGGCTCAGGTAGTAACAGCGAGGTAGCAAGAAGCCTATTAGTGAAGAAAAATCGAAGAGAAAACACGCAAAATGCCCTAGAAGGAGTTTCATACCGAACAACGGTTGTACGTGCTTAAAGGCAGCGTCCGCGTTCAGTTGAGATTTTCCTCTCCTTGCTTCGCTGCTGCTTCTCTCCACGTCGAGTGGTGAGTGTGAGGTGATAAGGGGAAACAGCTGATATCAACAAGTGAGAACTCGTGCGATCGCACCTTCTCTTCGCCTTGAGCACGTACAACCTCAATTAAGCAAGGGGTTCTATATAGAGCCTTTCCTATGATTTCTTTCTGATTTTCTTCACTACGGGTACTTGCGCTACCTGTTATAAGAATATGAGCCGTCAATAACTTCATCGAATTTGAAATGCGCTCAGCCTTATAAGGCGAAGAGAAGGAGTGATTGCATCGAGTTTCCCTCACGTTGAATCATTATCAGTGTTTTCCCTTATCACCTCACTCTCACCACTCCACGTGGAGAGAAGCAGCAATGGAACAACCGCACCATCAGGCAACCATTAGAAATGAAGTTGGGTGGCGTGGTCGGCAGTGGGCGGAGCCGTCGGCTCTTTGCGGGCGGACGCCGCTGTTCCGTCGCATTTTTGGGTTGCGGAACATGCACGTCCACCATCCTCATAGGGGGAGCTACTAGATCCAGAGAGGGCGTGAGAACAACAAATGAACGCGGGCGCTGTCTTTAAAAAGTCGGTTCCCGCCTTAAAGTGTCATGGATAGTTGCTGTTCAGTTATGAAACAGTAGCTCATAACCCAAGGAAGAAAAAAGCAAGAAGCATCCTCAAGAAAACCATAAAGAAAGTCGCTCCTTGACAGGACACTGCCCTGCGGTCTCTGTGCAACCGCTCACAAATCGCTTTTCCCGCATCCCCAGTAGTAAAATCACCCGTCTGCAAAGCAAAGAAATATCGAAAGAAAAACAACAAAAACACCGGTGAAATTTTCAAGATAAAAAGAAACTTCGAAAAACTCAGCGTAGGAGTTTAGGATTACAGTAGCGTGTATCTTTCAAGGCGTCGAGCTTTTGCACCAAAAAAATTGCATCACTCGTGATTTTTACGCGTTTTACCTTGCGAGATGGGTTGCAGTTGACTGTATGTGCTCCTAATGAATAAAATGTAATAAAGGAGAGCAGAATTATTTATGGGCACGAGCGCGGTCAGCAAAAAGGACATGCAATCCGATTAATGCCCGCCGCCCCAACAATGAACAAGCTGTGCGGCCTTGCGTCAGAAGGTATCTAGCAAGTAGGCAAATGGGCGGTCCAACTGAGCGGGCGTTAGAACTAGAACTTTCAGCGGCTGTAGCACGCTCCTCGCTCGCTGTGGAGTCGCGAGAGTGGGACAGTCTCTTAGCTTGGGGCTGGACTACTTGCACAAAGAAGGACGACCACGAGAGCGCGGGGGCTGTCCTTAACCCTTGCAACCGACTTCTGCACAGAGTTACTTCTACAAGGGTCGAAATCCTGATAACTCCGTACCCTTCGAATTTACGTGGTTGGGATCCAACGGCGTCCAATGATCAAAATGACCTGCAGGATCGAGTCCGAAAGACGACTAGTGAACCACGGCGAAAATGCAACAACAGTTTAAAGAACTACGTTTTCAAAACTAGAAAGACCGCCGCTGGGAACCTGTGTACGGGTAGCTCAACACTGAAAATGACGCGATTATTTCAGACCGATGTAACGCTGAAGGCATCCTTGAGCTCGACGAGGATGATGGTATGCTTCATGTTCTCGTGGTGGGTTGAGGGCTTGCTCCTGCTTATAGAGGAATACCTTGTCAATATTCCACCTAAGGTCTTCCACCTGTGTTGTTACTTTGCGCGACGTAAACTTCGACCATGAGCAGTGTATTTCTCGCCATTTTCCCCTGCGTGTTCAAAAAAGGGCCCCTAAATGCTTTGAAGTGTGATAGTGTTCAAAATTACTAGGTCACAGTTAGGATGCGATCTAGTGCAGCTAGGATACGATCTAGTAAAGTTCGAGAAGGAGAATTCTGGTGCAAGAGATGTGCAGACTAGTGGATGTCACGCCAACAGTCGAAACCAGTAGTGAAACATGCAGAC